AAAACGCCTGCCATTTGATATAAATAAACATTGCTGTAATGATGCTTATCTCACAAAATTCATTGGTAAAACATCTATTTATTGAATTATTTTATGCATGCGTCTCATTCCATGAGACATAATGAAAATCAAATCATATATAAATTACATAATTTTGTTAAAGGAATTAAATATTAGGGCTAACATTGCTCTCATGTCATTCAACACCCGTTGCAAAGACACTCCACTACATACTACTCTACAATTAAATTAAATTTGAGATATCACAAAGGTGCTTTCAACTTTTAAATAATGACAGCTTTGAATACCCTCGATGCACTCACACCATTGCAATAGTTGTAAACGTCTTAGTATCAAAGAATTACTGAGAATTTTTGTAGGTAAGCACGTTTAAAAGTGCGAATTCTCCAGATCGACTCCACGCATGGTGTGATCAAAGCACTATTCACGCAATTTTTAAATCCATATTAATTTCTGCATTTGTTTTCTACATATGCGTGGAGTAAGAGAAGAAAAGTATCTCATGCCACCAGCTACATCCAATTACTAAAAATATCTCCATCCCTTTGATCTTTAAAGACTCAAGCAGAGATCACCTAGTATGACCTTATTCTGTCAAAATGCATACTCAGTCAACTTTCAAAGCATTTCAAACCATTCTTTTTTCCCCGGTTGCAATTTTTTTCTACCGCTTAATGGAGAAGTTCCACCAGTCACAACCTTTTCTTCTTTCCTCTTTGGATGTTGCAAGGATTCACAGAAGGATAGAGTGCTAACTCTATCAGACTTTGCTCTCTAGGCCTCAAAATACCTAAAAAAATGGAGAACCAGAAGTTGCATGCAATTAAGCAGTATAAATTTACACGCCAACCCAACTTGTGTGCGTGTTTAATTGATTAGTTGCGCAAAAATGGATAAAACATCTTTGACAAAGTCAGTGATGCTTGTATATGTATTGCATTTAAGACTGACGAAGCTTCCTTCTAGAGGATTAGAAACTAGAAAGAGCATAAAAAAAGAAGAAATTAGTTTATATTTATTTTATGTTAACGTAGTGGTGCCAACTGTGTGGTGATAAGACCGACAGCTGTAAGTCAGCAAAATCAGCAGTGAGGCACATAATTTATTGTGCACAACAATTTTAATTCGCGTTAAGCAAATTAAATGGAAGAGCAGAAAATCGATAGTGAAAACAGAGCCGAAGAAAAGGATATACGAATGTGAACTTGGCAAAAAAATGAGTATTTAAGCTGAAACGAGTGCCGATCGATAATCGATATTTTAAGATAAGAAAAAAGGATAGTCCATGCAAATCCAAAACTGTTTATAAAACGGCTTAAATTAGTATTGCCAATTAAGGAATCCCCAGAAACCCGCTAACGTCTCATTCCTTTTATCTTATACACCACAAATAAATTGAATTTTCAAGACTAATCGGGCATTTAAACTGACTTATTTAATAATAAGTACCTGAACTCGTCCAAGATAGTGGAGGAAAAATAAAGCATGATCATAGGAGCACAAGCGTCTTGAAAAGATATAACTGATTTATATTGACTGAAAATAAAACTCCAGATATCGGCATCAATTTGAGTCCCCCTGTTTCATCACTCGGCTAACCATTTTGATTTCTTAATACCCAAACATAAATAAACGGTCATTTTTATGTAAGTAGTGGTAATAAACTACGATGTGGTTTTCAAAATTTTATTCCCATGGAATCAGTTTTAATCACTTATAAATTAATAATTAATCACAGTCGATTAAATTCATATTAATGGATGAAACTAATGGGAGATAATTTAAATGAAGTCGCTTATTTTCATGACCATTTTCAAAGATAAATAATCGTTCCAAGGGGGGGTTCAAATCAATTAGAAATAATTTATTGCATTTACGATAAACGGTATATTAGGAGCAGTCATTGAGGTAAGAAAAATCCAAAAATGCTTATTTTGCAATAGATATTCCTTATTTGTTTATACCATCATTGTTGTTACCAAAACACATTTGACAAAAATCCAAACCCAGTCCGATTATTCTTTGTTAATGGCGATGAAGTGAATCTCAACTCCTCATGTAGATTACTTGAGTAATTCTGGGCATTTTATTCCCATTCTGAATTTTTAGGCTCAAATGAGCTCAAATTTAAAAACAGGCAATAAGAAAGAACTGGCAATATTTGAATATTTTAGTTATCAAACCTTACTATTAACATATTTTCCTATTGCAGATGGGGTATGCGAAAGACTTACCCCCACATCGTGCACCCTGGATAACAACAAAAGTCTATTAACCGACAGTTGACTTCTCACTTCAAACTACCATGACCCCACTGTATAACATATTCAACCACTTCCACAGTACTCATCTTAAATTTTCTCTGCCTTCGTGTTTCACTTTTCTGTTCCACCTCTCGACTTTTCGTCATTTTGATGTTCCTCCTCCTCTCCGTGAAACCCGAGATCAGCTAAAGGGCTAATGATAAGCATCAAAGCGCCTGTCTTTTGAAATAAATAAGTGGATATTTTTCAACTGAAGATACAAATATTTGATACAACTTGCAATAAATGCATGCAAAAAGTATAAAATGTAAGTAAGCGCTTCTACTTAATTCGTCCATAAAGTCTCACAAACTACTTGCTTTAATAGGCAAAAAATCTGATTGTGGTTAATTAAGTTCATGTATTAGTTGGTTTGTGCAAGATGTTTGCTACTGAAATTACTGATAGTATGGTCTTGCATGCTTTAACATGTCCTATCTAAAACTAATTCATCCTCAGCCTCGCCTTCTGATTTTAGTGCAGACAAAGTATTAAACGGTTAACCATATGATTTTAAGCATGCTAAATGATTTTTTTCAGTTCCTTGCTTCAAGCCCTCTCAAATTGTGATAAATCAAATGTTTAATATACCTTCACAAATAAAACTCACTGACTGAATGCCTTCTATTCAAAAAAGCTGCAGATTTTACCTCTTCTCTTTTTCAATGATATCGTGGCTTTGCGTGAAAACTCATCACTCATGATAACTCATTAGGCTTGTATGCATTTCCAGATCGGTAATGTTGGCATTGGTTACTCAGACTGCTGAATCGATTGAGTTACTCCACAATTTGGATCTCGATCTTTTCTGCGTTCTCTTATTAAGGCAAGCAAAAGTGTCACAATGAACCACAAATGTACATGGCATTAATCAGGGTAGCTATAGAATAATTGTGTTATTTAAGTGTCTGGCAAACATTTACTCCTTCCATTAGACCCTGTTTAAGTTCACTCTGTCTTTCAGGTATATTATGTTAATCTCCTTTGATTATCATAAAATTGCTTACTTGAGCTTTAAAATTGCTTCGATTCGTGAGACTACCGCACATATAATTAGTGATAGTCTGGAGTGTATTCATGCTTTTGGTTACTTATGATTGGTAATTAGGTTTGAAATGGGCAAACTAATTAGGAAAACAGACTCGTTGATTAAATCAATTACGCCATTTCAATTGTGCTTATTACTTATTCCTAATTTGTTAATACCTTGGATAGGAGACGAAACCAATATGGTCAAATATTCGTTCAGCGGTGTTGGCAAGGTTGAATGCATGAATTCAAAAATAGTTGAATCAATTTAAAGTAAGTATTAATCTCTCAAATTCAGAGCAGGAACATAGTTCTTAGACAGTTAGCTATCAATTTGCTTAAGTACCTTATTTGATAAATCGGATTCAATTAAAACGATTAGCCATTACTAGACAATCGTTTAACTTATTCCTATTTAAATCCTGTGTCTAGGTGAATGCCTTATTCGGATTGAATGCTGCAAAGCCTAGCTAAATATGAATCATTGTCTGAATTAAAATGAATCATAAATGAACTTTCAATAGACGTATGCTCTCAACTATACTGTGGTTTCCATTTTTTATCATACTTTGTCTCAGTTAAGCTAGCTTCAGAAGTAAGAGTGTATAAGAACCCCCCAACGAATATAAGGCAACATGAAGAAGTGAAAGCTTTGTTTTGATGTCGGTCTGCTGTGATTGTACAGACCAATTCTAGCATTGAAATCTGACACGATTCTGGACTAAGCAACGAATTTCTTACTTTTGCTTAAGTTCTGTTCTTTAATAGTCATTCACACAGACCGTTTTGCAACACTACAATAGCCAGTACTTCATCTGTTGCTTCTCATCTGCTTCAACTGTGCCTCTCATTTAAGTGAATGGGAAGTAAATTTTACAAAGAGTAGTGTACTCATCTTAGCCTTAATAGTCTCTTAATTTATATTTCCTTCGAAGCTCCAATCAAGTGCAATTGCTATTTGAGTGAATGGACGAGAAATGAGAACTTTATTTATTTTTTCTTGTTTATTTTTGATATATTTAATGCTAGTCAATTAAAAACTAAAATTTATTGATATTTTCAAATAAAATAGTGATATTACGGAAAATGATTTCTGATTAAAAGGTCGTGCTGAAAAACATCCTAATTAGAGAGGCAAATTGGAAGGCGCTCTAATATGGCCACAAATGTTGCAAATACTTGCGAAATATTGACGTCAAGATAATGATGACCCAGTCTCTCAACCTCGAAACGTACTTCTACTAAATAACAAAGGCCTTCAGATGTCTGCCCTGTGACTGTGGCTCAACAATAGGCAAGATAAATTTGCGTTTATTCTAGACGATGAAGATCGATTGTGATGAAAGTTTGATCACCGTAAAACTAAAACTATATAGCCAATCGACTAATTAAATCGAAATAAAATTCCCCACACATCATCGTTTATTTGTCCGCTCCATTTTCCTCAATGATTTGTGGGAATTTTGACATAACAATAAAAGTGTAAAGTAAACAGACTAGGAACACAAAAATTTTAATTTAGCACATGATTATATAAGAGCAAGCAATGTCTCTAGCCGTGATTGGTTAATCGAAACATTTAAGAAGACACTGAGAGAGAACCCCCTACACACACGCACACTCGATTCTAACAAAATCAACATCAATATGGTTAATTATGACGATCATCGTGGCCTCCGATTAGCATTGGATATCTTTAATGGTTTCAACATTGTAGATTTTGCTATTATTTTCAAAAATATTTGGCAAAATTTTAGATTGGCGGTGTAATAAGTATTGGTTTTGGAGTCTACCTTATTGCGGTAACTAAAAGCATGGGAGAATATCAGACAACTTCGACGCCCGTAGCAATAATAATATTCGGTGTTGTTCTTTTGATTGCCGCAATTCTTGGAATTGTTGGAACCCATAAAAACAATGTCTGCATGCTGATTTCTGTAAGATTGCAATTTCTATGTCCCATTTAATGCAAACAAACCGTTCAGTTCTGTGTTATCATCAGTTTTATTATCGTGTGTCAAGTTATCGATGCTGTTCTAATACTAATCAGTCAAGCGGTCGTGAGTTACAAATTGCTCCAAACTCAATCCCCCCACCAATCTAGTTTGTCAAATTGTTTGGAGAAACATTGAAAATTGATATTCAAAATCAAATTTCGCTCGGTTCAGATGTATCTTACATCCACGATCTTCAAAGACAGGTAAAGTACCCCCCCCCNCCCCCCCCCACAATTACCCTTTTAATTTGAACTATTTAGTATAAATGTTGCGGAGGCACTGGTCCATCAGATTGGAATCGCCAAATTCCTGAATCCTGTTGTGCCAATGGGATGCCGAATTGCCCTTCGCCATACAAAACGGTAAGTTTTCATTATGGACAGGCAACTAATGGATTTATTTAGGGTTGTGCCGAAGCAGTGTTCAGCATAGTAAAGCCGATTTTCCTCGGCATAGCTTTGTTCAGCTTGGCCATTTCTTTGATTCAGTTGTGCGCGGTCATCTGTGGTGCTTGCCTGACATCAAAGATTCGTAATTACGAGAAGGTTTAACTTGGTACCGAATAAATTGGTGGCATGAATTTCTTTATCCACATCTTCACCACCATCACCGGAATCAACATCACCCCTTTTGTGAAGTTTATACTCTGCGCTTTTTTCTTCTTTAAATTCTGGTTAATTTTAAAATTTTAATAATGTTTTAATCATTTTGGTTTAATTGCAATTTAATTTACAAAAATTTTAGTCTTTGGTTTTGAATTGCCATTTTTAAGGAGGGAGGCTAGAATAATTTATCTTAAGCTTTGCGCTTTTAATAATTTTAATATATGTACATTTACTTCACCTGTCAAATGTTTCAATAAACTTAGATTGAAATTATGGGAATGAGTAATATAGTTATATGAAACTGCGCCAATTTCGAAAGAGCCATTTTTTACGAACGCTGTCAATTATTATTTTTAACTAGCATAAAGCTGTAATTGTAATTTTAATGGTATTAATATGTAACTTTGATGCTATCACTTGCTGACCTAAATTGCTTCGATAAATTGAAGTCGGCTTTACAATTTTTTTGGCTGAAAAGCTCATTTTCACAGTTTCAGGGAGGGGCCGGGGGGGGGGGGGGGGGTTGGATCAGTAGAATAACAAGCCAGCAGGGAGCCAAACAGACTTTGTCATTTATCATCAATCTCAAATATACATGGAAGTGCTGCAGATGTAGATAATGAGGAGAATTTATTTTCCAGGGAATAATATTTACTGGAATATTTTTATACCACAAAATAAAATAATGACTTGTTCCCTTTAGGTCTTACTTTCCTATACAAGATATTGCTTAAATTTCGCCTCATTAAATAGATTTCCAATTGGTTGGTCCAAAACGATGCCCGATTGGCAGTCGTAAAAATTTTGGACTAGATTAGGACTGGAATAAGTCAAATGAAACTCAAACTGCGATCGAGTCAATAGAAATCAATCAATGCACACGGCTAGATCTTAAATTTATTCAGGAAAAAGTGCAAATCTACCAATCAATTCACAGCTTCTTTCCCATATTAACCTCCAATCAGTGTTTTTAAGTTTTTTTTGGTTAACAGGGACTTTTCTAGGTCGTTTATTTGTATTGATTTTTCCCTTCATAAAGAGTATCTAAATGCTTCCTTCTAGAGACCTACTGAAAATTAACTTGAATACTATTTACTGGAGTTACATTGTTCACACTACTTGAAATATCTTCAAAGTACCCCATATTGTGCTCCAATTCAATGTGTCAGATTAAGCTTTCTTTATATCAGACAATATGCGTAGAACGTTATACCACAGTCTATAGGGCTTTGGGAATACTATCTACAAATCTGGAGATTTATATATTATCTCTCAAACGCTAACTTTAATCCCCTCCAGGAGTAAAGCGAATTGTTGCAAAAATTGCAAAATATATTTAATGATTGAAAATAACGCAATTGAAAGCATGTACTTCAAATGTCTTGCTCTGTGAATTTTCCTATTTGTGAGAAAAGCTTAAATCCATATCTGTGCAATTTGTTACCAAAAATTCAGCGTGGATTAATAAAGCCAATTGGTTAGCGTATTTTGGGCATTGTCTCTATGGCCTTCTGTTTATTGGTTATGAAATAGTTTTGAGCTCATTATTCAAGGAGACATCACAAACTTTTAAGAGAAAAAAAGTAAATTACTTTCTCTTATTGATTTTTAAGATATGCGTTGATCTTATTGCCTTTTCCTTAGCTTTGTCATCTTGAAAAAACCGTCTAGACATGCCGAATAAGCGAAAAATTAATTACATTCTTCGTGTTCATTGAAAATATACGAAAAGATATCAGAAATCAAGAGGAAAGTAGGCCTTTGAGAAACCTCCTTCTTGCCTTCACCCTATTAAATTAATTTCGTACGTAGCTAGTGAGCATCTAAATTAATCTAATATAATTTATTTTTTGGGTTTAGTTTCATTTTAAAACGCCCAAACCAACCAATGGCACTTCTCAGAAAACGAGATGATAGGAGAGAAGATGGCAACTTTAAAGCAGATATTAGTGTTTTAATTAATAGTTGTGAAATACACACACGTGCTTAGAACAATCGATCTATTCTTGACAGAAGGCGTGTTTTCTAAAATGAGTAACGATAAATTTATAGCCGATTACCACACAAATAAGCTTTGACGTAACCTCATTAATCACTGTGGCAAGATACCTTCGAATGGAAAGGCTGCCGAAACTAGTTACCCTACCTCAACGTTATGGAGGAAACAGAAGGTTTGCATTTAGCACGCTCATGTGGACTGTGTGTCACTGATGCGGAGCTTAGTCATTAAGTACAATTTAGGCTACTCTGTTCATGAAGAGACTATTTATTTATTTCAAATGGCAGGCTTTATGATTTTTATCATTAGCCCTTTAGCTAACCTCAGGCTTCACAGAGGGGAGGAGGAACATCAAAGTGGGAAAAATTCGAGAGGGGAAACAGAATAGTGGGTCAAGGCTGTAAAAGAGATAGGCAGACACAGAGACAAAGAAAAGGTAAGATGAGTACTGTTTTAGTGGTCGAATATGACATACATGGTAGCTTGAAGTGAAAAGACAACTGCCAGTTAATAGACTTTTTTGCCGTATGAGTATACGTTGCCCAGGGTGCACTACGTGGAGGTAAGTCTATCGCACACACCATGAAGGGACTGTTGATTGTGGAGTGGAGGGTTGATCTCGGCGCGGATGAGCGCACACGCGTCCTACGGGATAAGTAGCACAACTCTCATTCTAGGATGTTCTAGCGTGCATGGAATTCATTGGTTCATTCAGTTTAGCATTGCTTCTCACAGCTCATTCATCTTGTAAGATAGATATAGTCTGTGCACTCATTTATGAAATTATTATCTGTGATAGCATTGTGCCTTAAAAGGAGAACGTCGGTTAAATTCGGTTGGTTAAATGATAGAAAAACTTTCATGATCACGAATGTATTGCTTAGCAAAAATCGCCAATTGCTGAGCTTGCCTCTTACAATGGCTAATATAATATTCCAAATAAAATCTAAATGTCCTTTATTATATATGATGAAGTATTATTTTAGGCAATTCATTCATGCAATAAGATGATTGTTTAATAAGTTATTAATAACTCAAAACTGTAAGTTAGTCTTTTAATTATTAAAGTTCTGAAAGGATAAATTTCCAAAGATTTCTTTACTTCGAGCAGATTAAAACATTAATGAATTTCTTTTCAATCCAACAAAAGATTAAAAGCTTATTTAATTTGTTAAAAGTCACTGATTACATTTTTTCGAAAGTTCACATTCCGTTTTTCTTACGAAACGGTAAAATAGTTCATCAAGATAACCCTTAGAATGAATATTAAATTAGATGGTAGGAATATCGCCGTTGTTCTCAAGTGTCAAAATTGTGGGAAAAATTTTTGGCATGAGATATTATAGTATTACTGTTACTTATCGCTGCCTAAAGTTCACCATCGATTAGTCACAATCAATCGTTGCAATCGTTATATTTTTCATTTATTTTTAATACTAATAGTTACGTCACTACATCCTACATGTGAATGTTTGTTCACTTTTTCCTTAATCGATAAATATAATCATGAATTATAATGAGTAAACAATGAATTTATTAATTTTGATCCATTTACTCTATAATGTTTAACTTATTTTTAGTAGGTCTTTTATAAGACTTCTGTGCAGATACCCTAATTTTACTGAAATAAAGTCTATTTATCAGCTTTTCAAACTAATTAATTAATTAAGTTAAGTAAGATAAACCAGTAAAATTTAGCCAAAATGTGCCAAAATTTATCCTTCTAGAAAATACAGTGACTGTCTCTGGGAAACATCCATTGAAACAAATTATTTGGGGGAAAATGAAAGTCGGTAAAAACTAGCTCATTAAAAAATTGGGAGAATGAGACTATATCACAAGGCCAATTCCTTGTTTTTCTCTTTCTTTCCTTCAAACTAAATACGTCTACGGTGTACGTCGAATAAAAGAGATGAGAAGGTTAAATAAGACACATTTTTATGCTTCACTTCTCGAATTGCAAGCGGAATTAGGGGTAATATTTAGGGCAAGGTCTTAGTTAATGATGTTAAATCTCTCCTCAGTAGGATATACACAAATGAGCTAGGACACATGATGATAATTCTAATAAAATGAATGAAAGATGATAATAAAATTCAAATATTAAACACGTGAATTAGGGAATTAAGGCTCTAAAATATTAAATGCAAAATAATTTCATTCATATTAGTGTTTGTACGTTTCTTATGCAGCCATTTCTCCAAAAAGTCTACCACAAAAGTGCATAGCATTTGTCTCCTTAACAATTTCTCATTGGCGTGGTCAGTTTGCACACATCGGCACACACCGTTGGTTAGCCAGGCTTACTGAGCATCGACTCAACATCGCATTTTATGCGTCAAATATAAGCTCCTTTGGAGTTGCCTTAAGTCTTAGTTATTAGTTATCTCAAAGAGAAACAATATGGATTGTGGCGGAAAATGTCTTAAATTCCTCATGGTCTTCTTCAATTTAATTGTCTTCGTGAGTGCGATTCTGATACTAATGAGGTTGATTCTAGTTTGGAGGAGGCGTTATGGCAGGATATGGTATCTATCTCCTTGTTGAAGCCAAAGAAGCGAGTGGAACTGTTTCCATTGTACTTCCCGCTTTTATTACGACTTTCGGTCTTTTGGTATTCTTCATAGCCTTTCTGGGATGTTGCGGCGCCTGGAAAAACAATTCCTGCATGCTTAAGACTGTAAGAAAAAAGTTCCTTATGTTTATTCTTTAGTTCGGCGTAATCGTCATAATTCTCCTCATTTGTGAAGCAGTATGTGCTATACTTCTTCTCGTTTACCGACACCAAGTAAGATTCATTTGATCTTGCAATAGCACCTTTTAGTTCGTTGGGATAGTTGAAGAGAATTTCCAAAGCCTTATTAAGGAGCTCGAGGATAAGAAAATCACTGAAGATGATCCCTCAATCAAAACTATCTATAAATTACAGAAGAGTGTAAGTTATTGCATTNTCCATTAAACGTTTTAGCTTGAATGCTGTGGTGGATCAGGTCCGGATGATTGGTCAAACCCTCCAGATTCTTGCTGTGAGGGGTCAGGTAGTGGCGGATCTTGCACAACTTACAAAACTGTATGTTCTAATTAAGTTGAGAATGATGTCTCTCTAGGGTTGTGCAAAAGCTATGTATCAAAAAGTCAAGGATTCAGCACTCACATTCGGTATCATAATCCTCATTCTTGCCCTCATCCAAATCGGTGCCATCATTTGTGCTTTCTGCTTGGCAAAGGAAGTCAAAAACTACGAAAGGATTTAAAATATTAACATTCAACTAGTGTTAGTATGACCCATGAGTGAAACTTCAAGAAAATTACTGACCTTCTTAATATACTCTAACGCTCTTTCATTTAAATTCTGACATCTCCCATGTTAATGTTTAGCTGATATTCTTATGAAAAATAATTGGCTTTTGCCTTGATTTTCATCAAAATTGTTGCCTTGGAAGTGGCTTTTAACAAACAGTTTGCAGTTTTTACTTGAGTCATTTTGAAATAATTATGTTACTTCCAATTTGCTTCTAATTTGTGAGCTTCAATATGTTAATACTTTCTAGTATAACTAATTAACTTAATTGCATTCGTAAACATTACTTTAAGGGGAAAATTTTCAAGAAAATGCTGAATTAAATTTGTTTTCGAATATACTGTCTCTCCTATTTGAATTTTAAGCATTTTACTTAAATTATTACTAAAATTTATACGATTGTTTGTAAAATGCCAAGTTTCTTTAGGAGAAATGACTACATAGCTATAAATTTATATTAATGGCTTTCGGTTTTTCTATTATTGTGCAAAGTTGGTATTTGAAAAGAGAATAATCGTTAATTTATTGAAATAATGCGATTTTTCAGTAGTGAATATTATCGGGGAATTTTAATTGAGCTGAAATTCTTTCAATTTTCGTATGAGGGAAAAGCGTTCGTATTTTGAATTAGTATTTAAAAGTCCTTTATAGAAAAACAAAATATATTTATTTTGAAACAGGCAACTGAAAATATTTTACGGGTATGAACTTGTGATCAAGATGGTATAAGGGTTTCTGTCGCTCTTGTGGATTTTATTGAGAAAACTAGGAGCGAATTAATATGTAAAAGGAGATATAGAAATAGGATTTAATAAACCCTACTCAAATATTTTACCTTTCCAATTGACCAACAACTTAATTAGTCAATTTTATGAATATTTTGTTACAAATTACAATTTAATCACAATTTAATCGAAAGAATGTAATAAGAAGTAATCAAAACTATTGTGCATTATTAAGTTAATGATTTGTAAATTTTAATCAAAATGAGATATTTTTCCTTATAAAGATAATTGCTTCATTGCGTAATAATAACCAACATTTTCCTTAAAGTTGACGCATTGTTCATCTGACCTTGATAGCTGGTAAGCTGTGAAACGCTAGGAAGGAGTTTTGCATTCTAAAGTCAGTATTGATTTTATATTGCGTTGTTTGAAAAAAACTAACGAAGTAAAACAACGTGAAATATAATTGAGTAATGGTAACCCAATGCAACTTTGGTATGTTTAGTTAAAAAACATAGTCAGTAAAATGACGAATAAAAGCCAAAAGTTAAAATAATTGGGAAAATGATTGCGTACTACACACTGATATGAGCTGAGCTTGATCTAGAAAAGCCCTCGTTTAGATTTGGATACTAGTTCTTTTACGGAAATGACAACTTACCTAATGTACCAAATCCAAGAGGTAAAAAGTAACATTTTTTCAATCGCGTATGTTTGTTGAATGCGCTTGAAGATTACAATAACGCATTTCCTCCTAAGATCAAATCACGAAACTTTCAAAACAGTACAAGGGGTGAGGAAATATACATTAATCGATAGGCATAATCATGGGTTTCAACGGCAAAAATGTAAATCTGATTCGTTTCAAAATTAAAAATATTGAATTAAATTAAATCATCTACAAAATTTCAAATTTTAATAGTGTTATGGGCAATTTACCCTCCCGAATAATTCGAGCTCAATACTAATACGAATTTATAGGCTTCACTCCAAAATTATGCAAGGTAATAACTGCCATTTAATCGATTTTAAAAATCTGCAAAATTGTATGATTACTTCAAAATGAATAATTAACTTAAATTTTCTTCTAAATACATTAATTTTTCTCTTCACGCCGCGACTAAATTGAAATAGTTTCTTTTGAAGTACATTGATAAAGTCGACTCTACATCTACAGTTATGGATGAAAACTAAAACCATAACAGCTAAATTCAAATATTTTGATTTCAATATATATTTATCAATGCAATCAATAACTAAAATTTATTTATTTATACCAAATGGCAGACGTTTTGTTAGTTATCATTAGTTGACTTAGTTGATTTCGGGCTTCACAGTGGGGAGGAGCATTAAGGTGAGAAAAATTCGGGAGGGGGGACAGAAGAGTGTTTCATAGATGTAAAAGAGACAGACAGACACAAAGGCAGAGAAAAGAGTAAGGCGAACATTGTGGAAGTGGTGGAGTATGACATGTGGTGGGGTGATGGTAGTTTGAAGTGAGAAGTCAACTGCCGGTTAATTGACTTTTTTGCCGTATGAATTTACGCTGCCCAGGGTGCACTGCATGGAGGTAAGTCTATCGCACACCCCCAATAACTAAAATACAAATAACTCTAATGAAGAGTCTATTGCTGTTTAAATTCCTTCAATTTCTTGCCTTTTCAAAAAAAGCGTCATATACAGCAATTGTCAAATTGGTTCTCCTAAGTTGTATTTTCCACTCCTCCCATTAGTTAAGGGTCTTTCGTCTAAATGAAGACTAAAGACAAGTCAACGTTAAAGCAGTTAGCTAAAAGTATAGAATGGAACTTCTCCCAAATCAGGTTCATAACCTCATTGGCAATCAATTTGGATGAAAAATTTAGATGGTGCAAACAATGACATTAAGGTTTGTACTTTGAATTCTTTCCGGGTGTACTTAGGTGTACGCACACATTGTAAGCGTAAAAGTACGAACTCCATGATTCAACCCTCGGATGAGTCCACGTAATGGACTTTCAGGGCTTACTGGTCAATTGATTTAACTGTGTGATTGATTATGGCAGCTTGAATTATGCGTCTCTACTAACTGGATAAAATAGAAAGATGCTTTAGCTTTATACTGCAAAGCGGATAAAAGTGATGAATTTCATTGAATCAACCTACTAATAACAAAATCCAACAATATAATTACTTAAATTCGTTGATTTTGTGCACTATACCTTTCAATAAAATCATTTATCTTAATATTTACTAATTTCCTAATTGATACCCCAAGTATTTATTAAAATACTATATAATATGTGAATTAATATTACTGCGAAAAAAAGTCTTATAACTTGATGTAAATTATGATATTTATTTGGGCTTTAACTGAGAGATGTTTATGAGGAGGAATTCTTTCATCTACCAGGATAATTTCATGCTCATCTCCTATGCCAATAGCTAGAATGTTAAAGTCAACATTCGTGTGTTGTTTTTTGATACTTTTTCTAGTTGATCAGCACAGTATACTGGGTATCGATTCTTTATTGACTAGTGTGCGCAACTTAAAAGCTTGGATCCAAATTGGTCAAATCTCACCTCTCAATTTCACATGCATATCAGCAAGACACTAGAAAACAGTTTTCTCACGTTTCAAGTCTTCGTCTTTAACGAAACTGCCTTTGTTTGAGAAATATCTTCGTTCTAATATACCGGATATCATTTTAACTTGGTGGTTGTGTGTTGCATGCATAAACTAGAAGCCCAATTCATTGGTGTAATTGTACTCATTGTTCTTCCAGCCTGCATTTCTTGTTAGTTTCCTTCGAGTTTTCGGTCCCTATTACAGCAATTTTTAAATGCTCATAAGCGTAATGATTCAGCAGTTCAGGTGCTGTTTTGTGAACTCACATTTCGCAGTTGTGGTTGGGTATTTGCTATTTGTCTATTCAAAATGGCGAATGTCAATTCTCGTATATTCTCAAAAAGTAATTTTGGAATATTTTTTTAAGTTGCATTTCCCTCTAAATTCATTGAATGATTCAATGATCAACCCACGAAACCTTGTGAGTTGTGAAATAGGTAATGTTTCTGGCACGCATCCTTCTATTATAGAATTTTGGGGTGAGATTAGCAATAACTTGTTTGAACTAAATTTATTTTCAATAATAGTTGGTGTGCGATAGACTTAACTCCACGTGGTGCACCCTGGCCAACGTATATTCATACGGCAAAAAAGTCTATTAACTGGCAGTTGACTTCTGACTTCAAACTACCATCACCCCACTGTTTGTCATAGTCGACTTCTTCCATAGTACTCACCCCACCTTTATTCTAACTTTTCTACCTTCGTCTTTGAAACACTCTTCTGTTCCCTTCCCTCCCCCATTCTCGACCTTTTCACTTTCATGTTCCTTCCCCTCAGTGGAGCCTGAAGTCAACTAAAGAGCTAATGGCAACCATCAAAATGCCTGCCATTTGATATAAATATATTTTCAATACTAGTGACTCTTTGTATTGCGTAACTATTGCTAATTGGGGGACTAAATTTACTTTAGGGCTGTAAACAAGCCATGTATAATAAATCTGAAGACGTATTCTTACTATTTGATACATCATCTATGCATCCCAAATGGCGAAGTTGGCGAATCAATATGTGAGAGTTAAGGGCTAAGAAGTGAATTTTTGCTAATGTGGAATGATAAATCATTTCAACCTCTTCAATACAACTCCCCCCCCCACCCCTTCATATTTTCTCATTTGTTCCCAGATGTTGATTACTGTTCAAAATTAAAAATTTGTCCTCGGTTTCAGTGATTTTATTTGCTTATCTGGTGGTTTCATGAAGCAGTGCAATGTTTTTGGTAGTTGGCAAACATGTTCACGCCTGAAGTGTTATGAAAGTTTGAGATATAAAGGCACTTAGTGATGTGAAACGATGAAACAGTAAAAATTTCTTTTCAGTTACAAATTTTGTCAATTTTTCACTCATTGTCGCAAAGATTTCGCCAATCTGGAAGAAATTATTTTGTCAAATATACAATATAATGACGCAAATTAAATTAAATACTTTCCTTTCCAAGAAAGAATAATTAATCTATACTGACTCGTGATCAAACCAACCAATTTTGGCATTTATTCTAGGAAATTATCTTTACATTTCTCCATTCTCTTTTCTATTTATATAAATAAGGAAGGCAACTTTTGCAAATTACAATTTAATTTGATTATATGATGCAATTGGGTTGCTTCCAATATTCTGCTT